AATTATGCTTCAGTTCATAATTTAACAATATGGATTTCATTTGTGATTTGATAAGAGCAATTTTCTTAAAGTGAGTAGGTGAGAAACCATATTGGAGTGGTTTCTCAAAGGAATGTCTGGTCTCTAGATTCTTAAGGAAATTTCTTAGTGAACAGTGGAGGCACAAATGGGATTTTTTAATTCTAGGGTCGGGACACACTTTAAACCCGTGCCTCTGCATGCATTGCATTTGACGGCCAGGTATTCCATTTTCTTTTAATAATAGATACAAAACCTAAACCCATTTAACTGACACACTTTACAAAGACTGGTAGTAGAGGTTGTTGGAGAGGCTGTGGTTCTACATAGTATCTTGTGAGTCTCTGATGGACAGGGAAGCTGGAAAAATGTCTTTGGAAAACTCACCATACCTGCTACATTTAAACATTCAGATGCCAATCACCTGAAATTCCATACATATTCCATATATATTTCCACAAGAAAACACCAGGGACCTGCATTAAAATATTATTAGTTCAAATAATAAGCTGGGTGTTCTGATTTTTTTAATTAGCAACTCAGTCTCTGCCTGTTTTCAGCAGTACAACCTCTATCTAATATATATTTTGTATTTTTAATCAACCACTAAGAAAAAATACAATATTTTACCTCAAGTCTATATATAGTGCCTAAAATAGAAAACGGGATTTTGTAGATTCAACAGAATTATTTGTTGAATAAATCATGAGTAACTTATTTATAGGGTCGATAGACAAATAACATATCATCTCAGAATACAGTGATAACATTTGTTATGTAGAAAGACATTTCAATCTCAGTTAAAAATATTTTGGGCATGTAAGTTACTGTCATATACAGATGCTCACATTGTTTATGTGAAAATGTTTGTAGTTAATGTATATTTTTGGTCCATGAGGCTTTTGGTTTTGCTGCCATAGCAGATAGTGTTCCTATTAAGAACATGAACCTGAATTTTACTTCATTGTTAACGGATTTCTTAATAAAATATATGCCATACTATTTTGTTTAATACATTAGCAGACAACGTGTCAGAAGCGAATACCCACCCACTCCACCGCTGTCACCCATACCTCTGATAATGCGGCTCCCGGAGATGTTACCGACAGCTGAGGACTTCGTGTTCATCCTAAGCACTTTAGAGCCCTTTCATTTTCACCTGGGCATGAGATAAAATAATTCAGCAGCAATACAGCTCACACTGCTTACAGAATGGCTCTTTCTTTTGTGTCTGTTGAACATTACAGAGCAAGACAGAGTACTTCTCTGTCCCAGGAAACCACTGTTGGCACTACACTCTGAAAACCTGTATTATTGACTTTCTGAGAAACACTGTTTGGGCTTATAATTTAGATGCCATCATATCATGTACAAAAACGTGCTACTCCCTTCCCCTTCTCTTCTCCTCTTAACAGACAATTGTCAGTTTTCTTTTCTCTCCAACTCCTTCTGTCTACTTGATTTTTTAAAAGCGTTCTGCACATTTCCAATTTTAGTAGTGTAGAGACCCGATATGTGGCCAAACTACATGTCCAGGAAGAGTTGAATTACATGCAAGCATTTTTAAATAAACAATTCCTCCTCAGTTTTCCATGATTATTTTATATAATCAAATGTCTTCCAGATATATGTCCCAAACCAGTGGTTATCAAGCTCTGCTTGGTTGTCTAATTTTATCAGAATTATCCAAAATTCTTATCATGAATACATATAAATTGGCACACCTTCAGATTTATAAAATCGAAATTTCCAGAACCTAGGACTATGCATTGAAAAAATGTATTCCTCAGGTGGTGCTGACTTGATACTGGATCCGGGTTTAGAATGCAGGAAAAATCACCTTCCTTGCCCTCTAGCTGACACTTATATCCAGAGTTCCCCTTCCCCTTTCACATTCTGCTGTCTCTCCTCTGCACCTTCATCTTCTCCTCCCTCCACTTCTCACCCATGTCCCAAGCCCTCCGCCATCAATCCTCCTAAAATTCCAAATGGCCATTTGCCACTAAAGTTCCCTGTGTCCCACGAACAAGTTATGTGTGTAAACAGAGAATTTAAGTTTGGAACCAGCTGAATCAAGAGCTGCAATTGAATATTTCCCTCAACCCACAGCCACCAGCAAATAGTTACAGAAGATCAGAAATTTCCTGTAGGTGCAAAAGGCTCAGGGTGACCTGATGCTAGAGATCAAATCTTATTGTCCCTTCAAATTCTTGTGTTAAAATCTAATTCTCTATGTGATGGGATTTGAAAATGAGGCCTTGGAAAGTGATTAGGTCATGAAACCAGAGCCCCCATGACTGGGATCAGTGTCCCTATCAAAGGGACGGCTGGGAGTTCCCTGATTCCTTCTGTCCTGTGAGGACACAGTAAACAGATGGCAGTCTACGAACTAGGAGCAAGCCCTCACCAGACATGGTATCTGCTGACCACGTGACCTTGGATTTTACCATCTCCAGAACCATGAGAAATAAATTTGTTTCTCTGCGACCTAGTCTATGACATTGTTTTGACATCCAGATTAGCTAAAGTACCAACATACCAGCTTGTACACGTAATTTTTGGAAACGCTGTGATGCCAAATCTTTGATGGCAAAAGGCAATTGATCTGCAGGACGAATGAACCTAAACGATCCCTCTTTCCACAATAAACCAGAGAGCAAAAAAAACCAAAAGTAGGTCAAGTTCTTCTAAAAGCCGTACCTGAAAGGTTTCCAATAACAGTTGATTAGGTGGTAATTTCATCGTACAAACAACCACAACAAAGAGACATGACTACCAGAGATTTTCAGGATAGCCTCAAAAACACTATCTGACATTAGGGACCCCTCCTCCCAGGCTTCTTTTCCTGCTCTCCAGCGCCTGTTGCAGGCAGCAAACAACCCCAGCAGCAGCAGGTCCTTCAGCTGCAGGGCTGCAGCTCAGTCAAATGACAGAAGCCTCTCTCCACTGAAGCAGAGGAGCCCAGGCTGCACACCCTGGTCTTGGCCTCCATGTCTCCCACCGTGTCCAGGACACAGAGCAGCAGGGGAGCTGCTGGCTGGGGCCGGGATGGCCACCCCCTCTCTCCCACCTCTTGCTCCAGTCGTGCTTTCAGCTCCAGGGCTGAGGCCAGTGGCTAGAGCAGGTGCCACAATGTCAGGCAGCTCCTTAGGACAGGGGCAGGAGCTGCCTGTATCTCCAGTTCTGTCCCCGAAGGGGGCTCTTCCCCTGGTGCTGGCACGGCCTCATCAGCGCCCTGGAAGGTCCTGTATTGCTGCACATGGAGATGAGCTGGAAAAGAAGAAAGATTCACCAATGACAGTCATTTTCCTGGAATTTCCACACACAGAAACAGCCTCACTGAATTTAAATAATTCCAGCCTAAAAACACTGCACCCAGAAAGTCTCTGAGACTACAGGCCCCTCACCATGTGCCTGTGCTTTGAGGAACTCCAGAGGCTCCAGATGGACAAGGACGATATGCAGATGTGGCCCAGATGGGATCACTGGTGAGGTCTGGCCTGGTAGGGTCTGCCCTGGGCTGCCCTGGGGTACCTGGGGGTACCTTCGGCCAAACCGCTCAAGGCTCCTGGAATGAGGGATGAACCTGCATCCGCACTGTGGGAAAAGGCTGTCACTCTGGGCCCTCCTGAAGCAGGAGCCTGGAGATGCTGGGATGCCAGGTGCTCTGAGATCTGAGGGAGGTGGACACTGCCCACCTCCACCCTTCACATCCTGTGCAAATAAATTATTCTCTTCACCCCTCCTTCGGCCTATCAATTTTGACACTTAAAAAGCCACCACAGCTCATCCTTGTAAAGAGGAAGGCCATTCACATCACATTTTTCAAATAATAATAATAGCCATGCAAAGTATAGAAAATTTCTCATACATTATTGTACTTAGATTACATATGAAAGTCATGATATTTTTGACATGCTAGGTAAATAAAATATACTATTGAAACTCATTTGCTGCTTCTCTTTGTATTTCTAATGCGGTGACCACACAGTGGGATTCCCACGAGGCTCACATCATATTGGGACTGAACAGTGCTGTTTTTCCCCCTCCAGGGTACAGGGGCTGTGGAGTGACCTGGTGCAGGAAGCCCCATGTCCACCCACAGGACATCAGTGTGAACCCAGGGAGCGGCTCTGGTGTAAGAGAGATGAGAACACAGCGGTGAACCACTGCTTGTGCAGGGGACTGAGCCTTCACTTTGAGCCAAAGAAGTTTTCTTTCCTCTCTTCAGTCCTGAACAAGAGGGCTTTCTGGACTTCCTTTTGTTTTCAGGTTTGTGCCCGTTCAGGTTTGGGGCTGTCTGGAATCCCAGCCAGGGGATACTGAAGAAATCCAGGAGTCTCACACTGACTCTGTTGAAGTTCATCTGCTGGGGCCATCCCAAAACTGCTGCGTACGGCGATTTCCTTTCCTGGTGCTCAGACAGCTGCTCCATGCACTTGCCATGGTTTCAGGGAAGAATCTAGGTGGGAAGACAGGATAGTGTATGTTATAATATTTAAATTAAAACTGAATCCATTAATATTTATTTTAATTATGCAACATTAAAAGAATTTTCATAGGCATTGGGGAAAGATGAAAAGAGATTAAAAGTATTTTGAGGAAGAAACCAAAAATGTATTTATCAAATGTCTGTGTGTCTTCAGTGTTGCAGGGTTGAGAGAGGTCAGCTTTAGTTTGCCCTGAGGATGCGCTCAGACGGCGGAAAGCAAGAAAGCAGGCAACACGCATCTCTGTGACCACATATCAATCACAGCAAAATGGAAATAAATCTTTCCATAAATCAACCGTTCACAATACATATCACTCTGGTGCACACAGAAAGGCCTGTTAGCAAACTCCCTTTGTCCTGCTGGGTCATATCCCCATGGATCACCTGTGTGCAGAGTGGACTCTGTGGTCCCCATTTCTCAGGCTGAGAACCAGAGGCTGGGAAGGACGAGTCGCCTGCTCGTGAGTGGGAAGGGCAATATTGGGAGCAGCAGATTCCAGCTCAGGGCTGTGGCCCTGTCTGGGCTCCCTAGTCCCTCCACAGGGTCCCCCCCACATTTCCCCGTGTGGAAGTGGCTGCATTTCCTGGGGTGGCTGACGTGCTCCAGGGATTCGGTGCTGCAGATGCCTCAGCACGAAGCCTGGGGTGGGGGTGGGGGTGGGGGTGGGGATGGACTAGGCTGCAGCTGGGTAGACCAGAGACCAAGGACACCCAGCAGAGAGTTCCACGGGGTGGGCAGCCCCATTCCTGACAGTAGAGACAGCCTGCAGGTGGGTGCCCAGCAGAGGGCACTGCAGGGTGTGCCCAGGCCTGGGAGTCACAGAGACACAGACACCACACAGCAGAGACACGGAGGGCCAGGAGCTCACTCAGGTGAGGGGCTTCTGCAGATCTTTCTCTCCTGAGAAAATCAGGTACAAAAAAATTAAGTACTTGCCTTCAGAATAGACAAACAAAGACTTTCATCTTTTCAGCTGAGCTGCACTGTCTAGGGAAACAGCAATCTTTGAGCCCAGACCCCGGTGAGGGTGAGGTTAGGCATGGAGCTCACGACCCAGATTTGCATGGAGGCCCCGCCCTCCTCTGAGGCAGAGGAGATAAGACAGGGCTGGGGGCAGGCCCAGTGCTGGGGTCTCAGGAGGCAGCGCTCTGGGGACTTCTCCACTATGGGCTGGAATCTGCTCCTCCTCATTCTCCTCAGTCAGGGCACAGGTGACACCTCCAGGGAAGGGACACCAGGGACCTCTGGACCGATCCTTGGTCTCCTGCTCCTCAGGCTCACCTGTGCCCAGCACTGACTCACTAGAGTGTGTTTCTTCCTCTTTCCAGGGTCCTGGGCTCAGTCTGCCCTGACTCAGCCTCGCTCAGTGTCCGGGTCTCCTGGACAGTCGGTCACCATCTCCTGCACTGGAACCAGCAGTGATGTTGGGGGTTATAACTATGTCTCCTGGTACCAGCAGCACCCAGGCACAGCCCCCAAACTCATGATTTACCGTGTCAGCAATCGGCCCTCAGGGGTCCCTAATCACTTCTCTGGCTCCAAGTCTGGCAACACGGCCTCCCTGACCATCTCTGGGCTCCAGGCTGAGGACGAGGCTGATTATTACTGCAGCTCATATACAAGCAGCGGCACTCTCCACAGTGGTCCAGGTTCATGGGGAACTGAGACCAAAACCTGCCCTGGGCTCTCAGGCTCCCTCCTTGCTCTGAAGATGCTTCCTCAGCTGGTCCAAGGTCTGCCGTTAGATAAGAACATACTCACTTCATCTACTTGATTGGATCATGGGTTTGCCAAAGAC